CTGTAATCCACGTATAGGCAATATTAAAATTTAGGGAGGGGTATTTCGATACGATTTTTTGCAACTGAACTGTATCGATCTGAAAATTACAGTATTTTTTTTAACCGAACAGTGTAAAATTTTCGAACGGTACTTTAAAAAAATGAATTTTCTAGAATCGAAGCGAAACAAAACGAATTTTTAAAAAATCATGAAAACCCGCAAATTTCTTAAAAAAATCTATAATTTTTTTAATCCAAAGCACAATCAAAACCGAATCGAACTGAATATAAAATAATAAACGATTGGTACATAATTTTATAAAACCGAAAAAACTAAAGCTAATCATTTCAGAACCGAATTCAAACCGAAACGTCTACCCTACTAGAATTGGTACAATTCTTGATAAATCATATATACATATTTATACAACTAATATCAGAACTTGGTCATGATTAAAATTTATAGAATTACAAATTTTAATAATTCAATTTGTAGCACCAAAACGATTTGTATTAAAGAGCATTAGAATGAAATAATAGTTTTGTATGTGTATATATATATATATTCGGTAAAACAATGAATAAAAACAAAGGTTGGTTCCAGTTGATGGACCTGGGCCCCGTCGGCCGTAACCGCCAAACCCACATTCGTGTTCGTGGAGCATGCAACGATATATGCGGCCTTCATGAGATCCACTCACTCATACTAATATTAAATATATAATTAACACCGATAATTTTAGTGTTTACTTTAAATGCAATATTTATTATAAAAAATGACGTCCAACCCGTTCCATCAATGAGTATTTTATTTTTCACGATCTCTGGATCTTGGAGCCCTTTTTCTAGCTTTTTTTTCCTACTTTATAATTTTTTTAGTAAAAATGTTTATCTATAGATAGATAATTTTGAACATATATATATATATATATATGAAATCTCTATTACCTAAAGTATTGATATTAGTTTCGGGTTAAGATTATATATATTTTTAAAATTGTTGTTGTTTCAAAGAAATTTATATATTTTATGTGTGTGTGGTTTTTTTCCAACAAAAAGTATTAAAAATGTATATATATATATATATCATTAAATAAGTAGATGGGGCCATACGACTGCTCGCCATTAGCTGTGTGGAAAGCTAAACAATGGCTTCTTTCTAGTGGGTCCATCCGTCCACGTCATCTTTAATTCTCAGTTTCTATCCAATTACTTTCTGTATAAATAGCCCTCTAAAGTTCTATCATATAATCATACCCACAAGTCGAAATATTCAAATACATTAAATATTTCTTTACAATTTCCAATTCTTGGATTTCTTCTCATTCACAAACAGAGTGCCATGGCCAAGAAATATTTCCCTTCACCACCCCTAACTTATCTTCTTTGCATTGTCACCCTCTTCACATTGATTATTCCAATTTCGTCTCGACCCGCAACTTTCCTTCAGGATTTCAAAGTCGCATGGTCTGATTCTCATATCCGGCAAATCGACGGTGGCAGGGCTATCCAGCTCGTTCTTGACCAGAATTCAGGTATAATAAATCTTTCCAGGGTGATTTTGAATGTTATCAAACTTTAGGGGCTATTTTGTAAAAAACGCTTTTACACGTTCTCCTGATGCTTCTTCTCTCTTCAGGATGTGGGTTTGCCTCGAGAAGCAAGTACCTCTTCGGACGAGTGAGCATGAAGATCAAACTCGTCCCCGGAGACTCCGCCGGAACCGTCACGGCCTTCTACGTAATCTCTCGTTTTCTTTTTGGTCCTTAACTTTCTTTAACTTTGCATTTTGACCCCTCGAGTTTCCTTGGGTGCCAAGAAACCCCTTGCTGGAATCTTGAACCGTGTCTAATGTCACGTATGTGTTTCAGATGAACTCGGATACGGACAGTGTGAGGGATGAACTGGACTTTGAGTTTCTGGGCAACTGAAGCGGTCAGCCGTACACTGTCCAGACGAACATCTACGCCCACGGGAAAGGAGATAGAGAGCAAAGGGTTAATCTCTGGTTCGACCCGGCCGCCGATTTCCACACATACACCATCTTATGGACCCATAAGCATATTGTGTAAGCTCTCTCTCTCTTCCATAAACTATTTTATCTAAACTTTGGCTTATATTGTAACAGTTTTGATAAATTAAAATTCTATAGTCAAGACTTGTAATCAATACAAGAATTAATGGAACGAACACCAAGACAACGAAAAAACACAAAAAAGACCGTAGAAAATAGCTAAGAACGTATTTTTGGCACGTGTGGGTTACTGTCAGTTTCTACGTAGACGACGTGCCTATAAGAGAATACAAGAACAACGAGGCGAGGAACATACCGTACCCTACGTCCCAACCCATGGGGATCTACTCAACGTTATGGGAGGCCGACGACTGGGCAACACGTGGCGGGTTGGAGAAGATCGATTGGAGCAAAGCGCCGTTCTACGCTTATTACAGGGATTTCGACATCGAAGGTTGCCCCGTTCCAGGACCGGCTATCTGCCCATCCAACCCTAAGAACTGGTGGGAAGGTTACGGCTACCAAACCCTAAACCCCGTTGAAGCCAGACGTTACCGTTGGGTCCGAATGAACCATATGATCTACGATTACTGTACGGACAGGTCTCGCTACCCAGCTCCTCCGCCTGAGTGTCACGCTTGAGCTCCGAGTACATTATTCACTTACATGTTCTTACGAATACGTATATATACATATATACACATGTATACTTGTGATATAAGATATACGTGTAATTTGCTTATTTTCGATATATGTGAATGATGTATTGTGTTTGGGGGCCGCCGGTGTGCGCGTGCGTCGTGGAGATGGACTGTCTATATAAATGTGCTTATATATATTTTTAAAATTCCAGTTGTATCCGCAAAGATTCTTCCACCCAGGTTTGAACCCCACCATTGTCAAATCACATATAAAAAACAAATTATGGATCCATAAATGATTTGGAGCTGCATGGTCCTAATTTTGTAGCTAATGGGTTAACGTTTTTAGTTTAAAAAATAATTACGAAAATGAAGTATGAATTGATTTAGAACATGTTCAATTAAATAGCTTAACCCTTTTTTCTTATATAATCTGACCTAAAACATGTGACAGAACGGCGTTATTAGGTTCCAGAATTCAAATGCGAATTCGGTATTGAGTGTTAGGAATCATTACGTGAAAATAACATTACATCTACTTACTACATATTTATGTGTGGATAACATATAGATTTTTTTTGTATGTATAGAAGAAATTCCATCAATACTTGATATCAAAAAATAGAATAACCCCTTTACCCAATATATATTTCTATATGGAACTTTACCCAATATATATTTCTATATGGAAGTAATTTATTGGGTGGTTCACCCTAGGGGTGGATGCTTGGGTTTGAAAATTTAATATCGACATGATCCGTCCCGAAATCGAATCGTACCGAACCGAACCGAATAACGGTTAATTCTACTTTGGTACACTTTATGAACTGCTTCCGAACCGAACCATATGAATACTGAACCGAACCGTATGAATACCGAACCAAAATTCGAATATTCCACTAATATGTGTGTAAATATTATAGTTTGACATTTATTTGGTATTCATATAATAGTACCGTTCTGAACCGAACCGATACTAAAACTGAACCGAACCGTTTAATATTCGGTTCTAGTTTATTATACTTTTTATGAAACCGAAAATACCCTTCTCGAACCGAACCGCTTGAATACCGAACTGAAACCCAAGACACAACCCTTCAGCCAGTAAAAAAGGAAGCAAAACTCCTTCGTCCCAATCCGGTTTCGAGTCTTCACTTGGGGATAGACAATTACATGGGCTTCCCCGATCTTGTAGAAGATGTAGTTGGGTAAAGGTTGGGTGAACTTCCCAAATTATAAAAAACAACAATATTACATCTACTTTGTAAATTCGACGTTTCGATTATATAAATACGTCATACATAAGCGATGGAAACAAATTTAAAGCTTATTTCGGATCTCTAAGTCAGAAATTTGATTTATTTCAATCCCTACGATATTAACATAACATAATCCAAAATTGGATGATTAAGTGATCTTTTTAACCTAGATTCGAATTGTGATTTGTGAAAGGGTATTGATATAAACTTTTTCGACTCTCAAGAAAATGCAGTTGTGACAAAGATATAGTCAATTTTCTGATTATATATATAAAAGAAAGCATAACATTGACAAATCCGTCAAAGTGTTCCTAACATAAGGTTTTCTCTCTGTTATTTCGGTTGGTCAACCTTCCGAGCGAGTTAGAGTCTCTCGTATCTTTCATAGGTAAATGTTCATTACGCAAAATTGCATGCGATCGTGTTTAATCCACTTATTATATTCTTTTGTTTTTTATATTTATTTGTTGTTATTAGATCATTTTGAAATTAAAGATAGTAGTTAGTCGCTTCTATCCACGTAGCGTTATAGCGCCCCGTCGGCTTCATAGGTTATATCGGACGCATCGTCATGTTGTATATATTTGCTTTTGGTGATACGTGGCTCATAATTCGCTATCCAAGAACGAAAGAAAAACGTTTTCTAAATGTCCCGTTGGAAATTTGAGATTGCGTTTTCCATTTAACAAAGACGCTAAACGATAACGATAAATATAAAACATACCGATATTAGCAGCATACCATTTCCAAGATTAAATATCTGTAGCGCTGTCGGACAGATCATGGGGACCAGAATAATGAGAACCACAAATATTTTCTTCTGATTATATAAAGAAAAATATATGATTACAGTTTGAATTAACTCTATATAGTAAATTATAAAAAATAAAAAAAAATAAAGAGGATTTAGGGCAAAAAGGAGAAGGCAGCAAAAAGAACATACAGCAGCCTCCGTCTCCATCGTCATATCGCCGCCAACGAATTTCGCTGAGAGAGAGAGAGATGGAGAGGACCGCAGTGTTTCCCGGTAACCAAAATTACCTCATTTACCCTTCACGCGCCGTCGCCACGCGCCTCCATTCTCTCTCCTCTGCACCGAGTCCCCGGTCTCTTCATCCGCCCTCTATCTCTCTAAAGGTTAATCTCTTCTTCTCTGCTGATTAATGTTTCTTCCGAGTCCTTACCTTCCGGCCGCGTCTTCGGGTTTTCTCTGAGCCCTTTTCGTTTCTTCGATTACCCTGCAGCAACGGTGTTCTCTTTCTTCCTCATCTTCTGATGCCATCCATGGCGGAGTCTCGTCTCTTCGATGCGATGCCGTTTTGTCCAACTCCACCAGGTTCATTTTCGTTTCCGGTAGTCTTTTAGGGTATTTGGGTTTGTCGGAACGCAATCAATTAGTCTCCTTTCGGTGAGGTTGACCTTTTTCTTTGTCTTGATCTAATGTCTGAATAGCTCCGAGATGTCTGAAGTAGCCGACATAGATTGGGACAGCATAGGTTTCGGTATTCAACCAACCGATTACATGTATATCATGAAGTGTGGCCGCGACGGGAATTTCTCTAAGGGCGAGTTGCAGCGTTTTGGGAACATTGAGCTGAGCCCGTCAGCCGGTGTTCTCAATTATGGTCAGGTAGGTTTCTTTGTTTCTCAGGTCTTGTCCTTTTGAGACAATCTTAGTCTATGGAATGGAAATGCATTTCTTGGGTTGAGTAGTTGAAAATATGAGGTAGTTGCAGTTGCAGGAGCTTTATAACTTGTCAACTCCTGTTTTTTTTTTTTTTCTTAGAGGAGCTCATTTTTCCTGATTTTCTTGTTACATGAGTGAGATTCCTCCATGACTCTTGTTGTTGTTGTTACTCTTTCACTAGTTTCTATACGAGGCTTTAGTTCTAGATATTTGATTGGAATGCTCTAATAAGGCCGATTAGTTTCTTCTCTGAATGGTTGCAAGACTTTGAATGGTTCTTGATGCGGAAATGTGAGGCAATGTATCATGGCTGTGAAAATCAGCCGCAGAATTTTCTGTGATGGTCCTTAAATGGAGGCCTGCATGGCCATCTGGGGCCTGGTTGGAAGTATATGAGAATGAATCAAAGATCAAATATTTATATTATACCCTGCCATTTATATGCATCCGCCATCCAGTTTATCTTCATTTATTCAGTGGTTAAAAGTTTGAACAAGTAATCAAATGATTCAGGTACTTTCTCAAGAAGTGATACTTTGAATTGATGTTTATTTGGGAGTCTTCTCACTTGATAAGATTGTAACCTAGAGGGATAGTTCACTTAGTTAGAATTTAGATTGCCCTTTCTGTGTCTGTGTCTCGGTGACGATAAGATGCTTCATTGTCTCTCCAGCTTGTTGGGTACGATTTTTTCTTCTTCTAAGGGGTCTTATCTCAATTTGTTTTCTAATGCCCTCCTCTGTTTTTAGGGATTGTTTGAAGGGCTAAAAGCCTACAGAACACAGGAGGGGAGCATTCTCCTGTTCCGTCCTGAGGAGAATGCTATCCGCATGAGAATGGGGGCTGAGAGAATGTGCATGCCTGCCCCAAATGTCGAACAGTTTGTGGAAGCTGTGAAGAAGACCGTGCTAGCAAACAAACGATGGGTAATGGCAATACATATTCTTTTTTTGATTATGTAAAAGTATCGAATTATCTTAGTGATATGCTTTTTTCTTGATGTGTTATTGTTTCAGGTTCCTCCTCCAGGTAAAGGTTCCTTATACATCCGGCCATTGCTAATGGGAAGTGGAGCTGTTCTTGGTCTTGCCCCAGCTCCTGAATACACTTTTCTTGTTTATGTTTCACCAGTGGGAAACTATTTCAAGGTTAGCCCGACTCCAAAAAGTTTCGAAATTTCCTCTTCACACATCCAGAGGCATATCCTTTGATGGTATTTAATATATTTTTCAATGCTTAGCTGTTGTGATTAAGAACATTTTCTTAGTGATGTCAGGAAGGGGTGGCACCAATCAACTTGATTGTGGAACATGAATTTCACCGTGCCACTCCAGGTGGTACTGGGGGTGTCAAAACGATAGGCAATTATGCTGCAGTAAGTAGGCAGGCTCCTTGCTTGTTTGGTTTTCCGGTTTTCGGTTTTCAAATTCAAACGTAGCCTCGGTTATTTGTAATCTAGGTTCTGAAGGCACAGTCAATTGCGAAAGCCAAAGGATATTCCGATGTTTTATATCTTGATTGTGTTCACAAAAGATATCTTGAGGAGGTTTCCTCTTGCAATATTTTCGTCGTGAAGGTAAATCTCATCTGCTGGTATCTGATAGCGCCTTCGAATCTAGATGTTTTTCTTTTACGCTTTGCATTACTTGTTCCCAACAAGTATTGGGGACAAATTCTTATTTTTAAGGACAAGAATAACGCCTTTGAATCTAGATGTTTTTCTTTTACTCTTTGCATTGCTTGTTCCCAACAAGTATTGGGGACAAATTCTTATTTTTAAGGACAAGAATAACATCATCTCGTGTTTGGATATTTGTGCTGACCTAACTCGTTTGGTTCTTGTTTTACCAGGATAATGTGATATGCACTCCTGAAATAAAAGGAACCATCCTGCCTGGAATCACCCGGAAAAGTATAATCGATGTGGCTCGAAGCCAAGGGTTTCAGGTGAATTCTCTTCTCCCAACTCTGAATTTTTTTTTGTGTCCGGACAAGATCAAAGTACTGTTAACACCATCAAGGGCCAAAACTTAAATACAAGGACCGGGCTTGTTGGTGGCATAAGTATAGTATGTAAAAGATCAAAGTTGTTATTGCAGGTTGAGGAACGGGGAGTGACAGTGGACGAGTTGCTAGAGGCTGACGAGGTTTTCTGCACTGGAACTGCTGTCGTGGTCTCTCCTGTA